CTGCGAGAGAGAATCGGGCGGAATGAAAGGACAAACGGAGGAGAGGACGATATTGGACGACGCGCGTCGTGGAAATGAGAAAATGATTCGGGCGAGTGACTTCGGAGCTATTTTCCCCGCGAGGTGTTCCTCTCCGTCACCCGTGGATTCCCCACCATTTCCTCCCTCCGTCAGATGTAAATGCGTCCGAGACTCGCTTAACGCTAGCCGCGTTAATAAATTTAACGGCAATTTAATGGTCGAAACCGCTCGCCGCGGTTTGCACTCGGCTGTGAAAAAAAGCAACGTCGGGAAGCGCATCTCCGTCGAAATGCGAGAATATCACGTGCTCGCGTTATTTTTCTTTCTGTTTTTCTTTTTCATATCGATGACACGACCGTCGTCGGAGCAAAATTCGCAAGTCCTCGAGAGTAAGTATCATATGTTTGGTTCGTGTGTGTGTGTTTTTTTTTTTTTTTGGAGCACGACAGCGCGCGAGAGGATCGTCGCTGCGCGTACAAAGCGAGAGGACATTCGTTCGTCCGAAAGTGGCGCGACAGGGAATTTTTCCGATGGAAACTCGTTTGTTGCGCGTATATTCGCCGACATATTCGCACGTAATGCCAAATGCGTGACTCGCATTCCGCCCGGCCCGGCGGGTGCTCGAAGTGAGACCGCAAATTACGCGAATCGCTTCGGAAAGATCGCGCTGTGTGCGATGCGCGGACGAGAGAAATACTAACAGCCGGTGTCGAGTTGAGTCGCGCGAGTTCCCACCGCAGCGGCAATTCGTATCGACGAGAGCGCGATGGAAATGCGAAGTTTATGAAAAATACGAATAATGCCGACCGCTTGTTGCTTCGAGCCGCACAATGCGCCGCGTAACTCTGCTCGCAAACAGGCCGGGTTATCGCGCGCGTCGCTACGCTCTCTGAAACTGCTGTCCGCGGGATTAAAAAACGCGCACGGTCGCTAATTCTTCCGGCGTTTGTCGCGCAAAGTTCCAGGTGTTACGTAACGCGAGCGCGCGTCCGCGCGATTCACACGCGACATTTATCCCGATTCGTGACATTCTCCTCCAAAGCCGGATGAGCTGTCACGCGTACTCGCGAGGGACAGGATTAGAATGCTCGCACGCGGCGGTGTTGGCTGACATAGGCCGTGCGAAAAACAAAAAAAGAAGAGGAAGAGGGGGGGGGGTGAGGAGGGGGAGAGCGGGGGAGAAGGAGAAATAAAATTACAACGCGCGATGTGGACAAAGGGCTCGTTCCGGATGTCGGATTCGCGCGAGTGCCATTCACGAGAAAGGAGAGAGAGAGAGAGAGAGAGAGAGGGGAGGGGGGAGAGAGAGAGAGGGGGAGGGAGAAAAGTGTCTTTACATCTCCCGCGAAAGGTCGATCCTGACTCGCTCGCGGAAGGTTATAGACCTTGCCGTTTCATTATTAACGCGATGTATATCGATTTCGTCTGCCTGCCTCCGTAAACTCGTTTCTATTCTCGCGGTTACCGCAGATACGCGATGATACGACCAGACCTCCTCCACCTGCTCCCGGCCCGACGCCCGATTTACGGTCACCCGGGACATCTCGAACGGTTATTCGGCTAATTCATCACACCGGTGACAAGTACGTGGTCGATACACGTGACGTGGGACGGTTTCCCCCCCTCCCCCTGAGCGATCTTTATTCGTGCTCGACGAGCGTAACGAGAGTTTGCACCGAGCTGAAATAACGAGATAAAGAGTAAGGGAGGAGAAGAGACGCGCGCGCGGAAAACACGCTTTTCGCGTCACGAACGCCGTCGGAACAAACCGCCGAAACGAAACGGGATGTCGGATGATTTGATTACGGACAGGTGCGGCCGATCTTCGCCTGGCTCCATTGAATTCCGAAGTACGTTATTGTGCGCGAGAGGGAGGGAGAGAGAGAGAGAGAGAGAGAGAGAGAGAGAGAGAGTCTATTATGTCTGCTTTATCCGCGGTTTCTTAATCTGTGGCGCTAGGCTTCCGCTAAAAATACGTGCATCTCTTACGAGCCGAGCGAAGAAAACGGCTGGTTCGACGTATTAATCACACGCACACGCACATACACACACTTATTTCTCGCGCCTCATACCCCTTTACCAAATTAGATTTTTGTGAAGCGGTTTATCAAGTGAATGGACGCGGCTCGAGAATGATTCGAATATCTTCCGGCTCTTAGCCGTTATATAAACTGTTTATTTTCAAAGCGATCGCGGCCTTCTGCTTTTAGCGAGATCTTTGAGATCTTTTGATATTTCCGAGCCAATTTATATTAATTACTCCGGGCCAATATGAGTGAGTCACGTTGTTGCACTCGCGAGCAGGAAGCAGAACTCGCACTCGTTCAGGCAGCTAATTGCCGCCTCTCCTTCGTGATTAATACGACGATGTTTATGACAGGGAAGGTATACAGGAAGAGAGAGTTTCAGGAATCTTTTAAACACTAACAATGATTAACTCGAGCTTACCCGATGACACGTTCATCTCGAGGACGATTATTAGTCAGATGGTAAGGTCAAAAGTCACTGATTTTTATTTCCGTCTCTCGCGCTTCGGCGAATAGTCGGAGAACCCTTCACTTGCCCCGAACTTGCACCGAACGCGGATCTCGATCACACCGGCGAAACCTGAAATCCCGTTTGAAAGTCGCCTCCGCCGAGTCTAAAGGATACTCGATGCTCTCGCGCGGAGTACTCTCGAATCCGCGCGCGAACGAACGAACGAACGGCCGACGAGCGAGGGTCGCCGCCGTTTGGCCGGGAAGACCGACCACCCCGATGTATATCCTTCTCTTTGATGCCACGTGCTGAAGTCAATGGGCAAGAGAGCGAGAGGGAAACCAAGCGCGAGCACCACGTCGGCGCGTCGCGACGCCTCCTCCATCGACGCGCGCAATCGACGCTTCCGGGGTTCCGCGAGCATCCTTGCGAGAATCGTGGTCGCTATTTAATCGCTGAATCTCCCTCGCAACGCTTCCCGATCTCCTTCACGTCGATATTCGCTCGGAATAAAGATGAGAAGAGAAAGAAAAAGGAAGCGCCATTAGGAAGGCAGCGAAGGAGGAGGGAATTGTCGTCTCTCCTGCCTCGCGGCCGAAGGATACATCACGTTCGTCTCCTCCGCTTGCATTTCCATCGCGCGACGTCGATCGTTCTCCCTTCAAGGTGCCCATCGACGTCGCGAAGGGCTCGTTAAAACATATTTGTTGCGTATTCTCGCTCGCTCGCTCGCTCGGTATCGAATCGTTATCTTTACACTGAGAGAGAAGTATATGATATTTGGTACTATAATAATATAGTAACTAAATTATAGTCCGAAATATCATATTTATAGTAAGTATTACCATAACATCGGTAATAATTGCGATATAGGCATAGTATGAACAACCATGTAATATTTTTACTAAGAATCATAGTAAGTTAAACTAAAATTATTCTACGGATACAAATCCATAAAATGGTAGGTAAAAGTAACTCTTTTATATACAGTCAATATTATACTGATAGAAAAATATAGTTGAATTAACTATAATCTCACTATATTTTATAGTTCATTTTGGCGACAACCATATTTTTATAGTTCGTGGAACCTGCAAAATATACCTGTGGAATGTACCTGTAGAATAAAACACGTGCACTGAGAGAAAAGTGTATGATATTTGCAACTATAATGATATAGTAACTAAATTATAGTCCGAAATATCATATTTATAGTAAGTATTACCATAATATCGGTAATAATTGCGATATAGGCATAGTATGAACAACCATGTAATATTTTTACTAAGAATCATAGTAAGTTAAACTAAAATTATTCTATGGATACAAATCCGTAAAATGGTAGGTAAAAGTAACTCTTTTATATAGTCAATATTACCCGAATATTTGCTAAATGATGACAGATGTGTAACTATATGAATATTAAATCTCACTATATTTGTCAATGAGAAATTACCATATATGTGGTAAAAAAGTAGCTAAACAATTATTTCAGACAATCATTGACTATATATTTGCAGGTTTATTCTATTATATTTTGCAGGTTTCGAATTATAAAAATATGACTGACGCCAAAATGAAGTATAAAATATAGCGAGATTATATAGTTGATTCAACTATACTTTTCTATCAGTGTACTCTCTCGCCGCTTTCGCTCGCCGCGTCGAACGTTCGTCGTTGCAGAAGTTTCGAGCGGCCCGCGTGCGATTCGGGCGGGCCGATAATGGGTGCGTTCACGACTCGCTCAACTCGGTTGAATGCAACGGTTGAGTAATTCGTCAACGTTATCGGTCTGAATGTAAGGATCTAACGATGTAAGGACCAATAGTCACTAATCGCTCACCGAGCGGTTTTCTCCGCTGAACGCAATGAATGCTGAATCGCCAGCGGCGTTGTGTCGAGTGTAAAGGGTCAATCCGGCGGTTATTGGATTATTGCTACGTATCAACATACGTCTGGAGGCGTCGAGGGGGAAATTGACAGCGCGTAATCGGTTTCGACAGGTATAAGTAACGTGGGACGTGCGAGATCGACGCGCCTGTTGCGAGATCTTGACAGTGCCGGGGGCGTCTCACTCCTCATCGTGATATTCGCTCGCTCCGTCTCACCTTCGCCGTTCTTCCTGAATCCATCAGCATCATCCATGAGCATCAAGAGCTACCTTACGAGCTCCTCTCGCGAACGCTCATCCCTTTTATTCGCCGAGCAAATTATCCCCGCGGACGGCTGCAGACCTCAAGTTCGCATTAAGAACCTCGACGAGTGATTCTCTTCGCTGGTGAAGTGAATCGGAAATTATTGATGACGACGTGAGCGTGAACACTGGAACGATACGTCAGCTATTCGCCCCTTGCAAATAAATCACACCTGCAAAGAAATCTTCCCTCCATGTTCGTCGGCCGAATGTTGTAGTTTTCGTGCGATAACTCGCTTGCGACACACATTTGTATCATTCGAAATAGAACCTTCGCTATGAATGAGACGTGTTTGAAATCTTTCAGGAGGAGCAGCAGCGAATACTTTGTGAGGAATTCATTGTGAGAAAGAGAGAGAGAGAGAGAGAACGTTGAAAGGGATATTAAACCGAAATAGCCATGGCACGATTGAGCTTTCGCTATACGTTGGACAACAATCGTTTTACGATGAAGCAAAGGATATTCTATGAGAAGAACGGATATCTAGTGTTTCCTGGTCTCATAGAGCAGGATGTGCTCGACAAATGTCATAAGAGGTATATATACGTTGTAAGGGTAAATCGCGAGCGTATCAAACTCGCCCTGTACATACGTAATATTGTTGCTGCTCGGGTGCTGAAACTGATTAGCGGAAATTAGTTTTATATCACGCGGAGAGGGAACATCGGCGGAATGTGTCAGTTTTGATTTCACCACTACGATTTCTTTTTTTATTACTATACGACTCTAACGCGGTAAACGCGGGGAGGAAATTCGAGAGGAATAACGTATTCGCTCGATAACGCGCGAGGTAACATTCGTCGGGCGCGTGCGGCTCGATTAAACAGTTTGCGAGTCGAAAATATTCGTTATCACCGCGGAGAAATTAATCGGGATTAATAATCTTGCCTGGTAATCCGCGAGTAACCCGCTAATGTAATAATATTACTCGAGCGTTCGATATTTCGACAAATTTGCCAGCTGTTATTAGCACGCGCGCAAACACCGTAAATGCCGGCCGCGTAAATGCACAAATGACGCTGTTATATCTCTCTGGTATGGAATATCTGAAATGTTGTTACACAACACGGTGTAAAAGCGCTTCTTTCAATACTAATCACACACGTATGCGAATTCGTCGGTAGCGAGATGATATTTCGATTTTTATCTTTCTCCCTTTTTTTCTCCCCTCTACGCGTATGTATGTATCTTTTCTCTTTCTACGTATGTATGTATGTATGTACGTATTACTGTTTGTTCAAACATAAAAAGATCCAGAAAGGAACTTTGAAAGCTACACACAGCGAAGGATGCTGAAATTCGGTTTCTCGTTAGATTCGACGATATCGTCGAGGACCGAGCTCCGCGAGACAGAATCATAGTGATGCGCGACGTGAAGGACAGGAAATCGGTAAACAAGTTGCAGGACATTAATTTCGACCCGGTCTTCTGTGAATATATCGAGCACAAGAAAATCCTTGACATAGTGGAGTGCTTCACCGGGCCAAATATCATGGCGAAACACAGCATGCTCATTGCGAAACCACCCGACATAGGATTTGGCACTTCCAAGTAAATGCATTGAGAGTCGCGCGCTCGAGTCGTTGATTTCCGACACGCGATAAATCAAACAAGTAGAACCGACCACCGATGTGAAATTCTTGTAGACACCCGCCGCACCAGGACTTGTACTACTTCCCGTTCCGTCCGACTGATCGTATAGTGGCTGCATGGACAGCCATGGAACTATGCGACAAGCAAAACGGATGTCTCTATGTGGCACCGGGATCGCACCGTTCAGGTCAGCTGTACGTTCACAATTATCCTCCTGGTGTGTCGAACAAGTTTTACCATGGCATACAGGTGAGGAGGTGTCCCTGGGACAAGCTCGATTTGCCATCTCGTGCGTTCTCGATTTGGCACACAATCTTCTTCGAATTTTTTCGACTGGAAATTCCGCCCGGAAAGTAGACTGACACGGTCGAGATATTGATTTCTCTTTTTCTTTTCCATTCTGATTCAGTGCGCGCGTTCAGTCGTATGAAAAAAATATAGAGATATATATATATATATATCCATTTCCTGAATTTAAGCTGAACATTCATTCTTGCGATCCCAGAGTGACGGTGATTCCTCGCGGTTATCGCCTTGTGAGTGAACGTTTGCTCGTTCACGGCGCGATTTCACTCAAAATATTTTGAGAATTTACGATCGTTTATTCGACATTTTCTCGTTGTCAAGGATCTGCCGAAGAATATACATTATCTGGACCTCGAGATGCAACCTGGTGACACGGTGTTCTTCCATCCGTTGCTCATTCACGGATCCGGCGTCAACGTTTCCACTCGTACGAGGCGGGCCATTTCGTGCCACTATGCGGCAGTGGAGTGCTTTAATGTACGTAAACGAGACGCGAGATGAGTCCCTGCGAGTGGATGGTAAAATGTCTTGTGTAATCAAACGAAACTTTCTCTTTCGAAATAGGAAAAAGACCCGGTCCAGTCTCCCATTGAAGACGAGATAATGGAATACGCGAAGAAAAAGTATCCCAACATCTCATTAACGTATACAGACGTGTGGGATTTCAAGTCCTCACTCGTGCGCGGAATTCAATCGTCCTTGTAGTGCTTGACGCGGAGGATACGGGGATGAACGATCAAACATAAAATATATATATATATTTCTCAAGGTAGACACGGGGGATTGTAACGATAGTCAAATAACGTTAACGCGGGGATCGGTGCAGGACAATACGGTACAGGACTCATTCGACGACGGTGCGGGACAACGGTACGAAGAGCGGCATTTGGGAGAGAGGTGGGCAAGAAACGTCACCGCAGAAGAAAAAGTAACGACAACGGCGGGACTGTCGCCGTTATTATTTAATGAGTTAACAACGTCGCGCCGGTGCCGTTGATGGGAATTGGATGGCTGCATGGCGTAGCAGTGCTTGGCGAAGGGATCCTTGTAGGTATTCTCGTGTCGTACGCTGGCGCTCGACGTGCGACAGGCGGCTAAGCAGATCTGGAAGCGGTCGAGATTGCGGATGCGCGTTCTCACCGCGTCCTCCTCCTTCTGCGCCTTCACGGAGCCCGACACCACATCCTTCCGACCTTTGATTTGCTGCGCGCAGAATCAGGACAGACAGGGTGAAAACGAAAATTGTCCTCTCTACATCGGACCTGTTTTCTTCAGTTGCACTCTCGCACGTCTCGAGCGTGCGACTAAAGAGAAACAGAGACTCGCGAGACAGGTCGATAAAGTGTCTACCTTGCCAGGATGCAGGCAACAGGAGACGCAATATTCGTAGATGGTGCAGCATCCTTGAGGATTGCACGTTTTGCAGCTATATCTCTCCCTCCTGGCCATAATCGGCGTCTCCTCGTTCTTCGGGCTCTGCTTTTGCTCTATTCTGCAACATCCATTCGGTAGAACCTCGTGCCTGGCGCATACTATTCCTCGCTCATCTACTATTAAAGCTTTCCCCTGAATTAGAAATAGATCTGCTATTAAATGATCCTTAAGACGAGTATGAAGTCCGGGCAATTATCTCGGGCTAGAGTTTACTTGAATAGAGTTGCGACATGGTTGAGTGGAAGCATCACTTTCGTTCAGGTTAGCGGTGTCTACACTCGCCGCATTCTCACTGAAGGCACGCTCAAGAAGTTCCATCTGCCATAGCGGAGCTTTACCGGATGTCTTGGATTGTTCTGAAAGTACGTCGTCATCAGACATCAGGTCCTCATTGTTATCATTAATCATCATAGGATCCATATCGTCGAGATCACTGTCTATGCTTAGTGATCTTTTCTGCAACGGAGATTATGAATTCAACATTACGGAACATTATTATTATTCGCTCTTCAGTTTCGGACTGGATAGATATAGATTGTTGAGACAACTTGCCTCATTTCGAAGCAAAGAAAAGGCACAGTAGGTCAATGACAAAGCGAAGATGAGTCCGAGAACGAGACGTCGCCTGATTAATCTGACCAGACTCATGTAACTTGGCATCCTTCTCGTGCTTCGCTGTGCGATTCACGTTAAATCTATACGATATAAGGGCCACCTCAATGATTTCCCCCTCAGAGTGTCCCATCCAAACAGATTCAACAGCTTCTGTGATCCACGAGATACGTTAAGCAAAGTTAAACAAATCCGTAAAACTATCGCAGTATTGTATATTTACCGGCTTCTCAAAACAGTGCTGAGTCCTCGTGCAGGCACTGCTCGACCATAGTATCAACTGGATGACCGGTCGGTAGGAAATGTACCGCGCACGGTTGCGAGGAGAGAGCTCTCGCTTGCGAATAAGACATCGGAGTGCGATTTCGGAGAGCAAATCCAAGATGCGTCAGGAAACACGATGAGAGGGCGGATGAGAGGAGAGGTTATATTTTCGTTCTCTCGGTGATGCGAACGATCGAGAGTATTATCACGTTAAATATCCGTCAAGTTCCTATACGTTGTCGAGTGCTTTATGTACTGCGAGAAAGAGCGCACAAACGCAAGATCGCGGTTTCGTCGATAATTAAAGATATCTTATTAATTGCGTGTGAACGAGCGAGCGTGCGGTGACAGTTTACGACGGGTGCACACGGGTTGATCAGGTGCATTGACCCGTGAGCGGTTTGTGCTTGCAAAGTGCTCCGTCAGATGTCGCTATTTGTAGCGTTATGATCATACGACACTAATATCATTTGCTGTGAATATTTTAAAAAGGATAATATTTTCTACACATATATAATATATCTTTATAAAAAAAGGTCTACACATATATGTAAGATATGTATTAATATCTGTATGTTATATGAATATACATATCTCTATTAATTTGAGGTGATGGAAAAATATAATGTTGAAGGAAACAATTCATCGACGAATCTCCCGACGACTTTCCCGCAGACGCGCACCGCCTCTCGTTTTAAACCAGTCGAATGTTGCGGCAGATTATTTTTTGTTTCACAATGACCGAGGTCACTTTTCCCGCGAAGAGGATCGACGACATTTGATCGACGACAAAGATCGTGAGAAAAGCAGAAGAGAGAAGAAGAGAGAAATAGAGATCAATTGAAGAGCACAATTCGTTCGAGCCACAAAAGTCTCAAATGTCTTAGAGAGATCAAGACGATGTTACAATGGCTTTTGGGCTGCTTCATTGGTTGGTGTCATTCACGATATTCTTCCTCGTTTTGGCTGTTATCACTTGGTCCGCCCTGCATCTGGGCAAAAAAGATCACGAGTTCCTCGATCTCAATAGCGTTCCTCAATTCCCGTTCCTCTACAGCGACGATTATCGAAGGGGGACGTACGTAAAGATTTTTCTTCTCCCACATGCGGCTCTTTCATTCTGTTATTTGTAGTCATTTCAGCAGATCGCTCAATTCCACGTCCACGGTTGTACGTGACGCAACATCGCCGCTGGTGATTAGAAACGCCAATGACACGACGCCACTCGCGGCGAGTCGCCAGGACCTCCAAATATCGGATAGCGCACAATTATACAAAATATTGCAAGCTATCTCTTCGACTCAGGAACGTAAAGCTGATAGTACGCAAAATTATGTCGCTGATAGCGTTGCAGCAGCGATGCTTGCATCTTCTATCGTCAGCGTGGATGCTTCAGCGTGGAGCGAAGATGTTACGGCTGCTGCGCAGGATACGTCCGATGAATCTGCCGCGTTAGTCGATCAGCGGGACATTGGAAGCGAGGAAGCAACGAAATCGTACGTGAAAACGTCTCGCCTATGAAAACACACAGCTCTTCACTATCGGGCGAGAGACGAATTACCAGCTGTTTTTTTTTTTTTTTTTTTCTTTCTTTCCTTTCCTTTGCCTGTCGGCTTACTTTCAAAGAGTAACACTTCGCAGATCGACTCGGGTTTCGCAAACAGCGCGCTCGACTGTGCCGAATGGACATCGCGCGTTCGCCGACACGGAGAGACCGCGGAAATCTGACTCGGATCCACCTGACGAAACGGTCTTCTCCGATTTATCCCGCGACAAAGGAAATGGAATATCGAATGCGCTTGTGGCTTTCCCGTTCATGCGAACGTCGCCCGGCCGGAAGCTGACGACCGCGGCGGAAGACGCGGGAACGACTGAATCGGCGCAAAACGAGCGACTTGAAGTCAAAGCGTCGACGATTCTTCCTTATTTCTACCACGTGACAGTTTATACCGCGGAAGATCTCGCCGAGTGAGGGCAACGTGTTACGATGTGTCGCTATCCGTTGCGCGGAATTAAGTACGCTTCTTTGTTATCGCTTTGCTATCGGTTTGTAGAAATTTAACGGAAATCGGATTCGAAAGGATCGAGAGCGAGGACAGAGGAACTTCAGCGCTTTAGCGCACAAACTTCGACGAGCTGTTGCCTACGCTTTTGCGACTTTTACTCAGAAGTGGAAGCAATAAAACGAGGGGTTCCCGTGGGATTCCGGCGTCATAAATCCCACGAGATTTTGATTTAAGAGGCGCCGTTTCGAACGAATTGCCATCTGCGCGCCACAATTCTGTCGGACGATTTGCACTTGGCACGAGCTTAAACATTCCGATCGAGAGCACTTCCGAAAAAAATTCGGCGCACGCGTTTTAAATCATCGAATGATTCTTGGATTCTTCGACTTGCCTTTCGCTCGCTCGTCGCGTCGGATTCATCGTCGTCTCGCCATCCGTCGTCACCGTCTTAAGCTGTAAGATATATAACGTCGTTATGGTATGACAGATAAACCGATGTAGATGTAGCCGAGTTATGAGTATCTCTCGTCTCGGGAACGCGACGCGCGCGGCCAGTCTAAACATCTCGCGAAGAAGACGATGACGCTCGCGATTCGAAGCCCGGATAGAGGTCCCTCGTGATAGAACTTAGCTTCCTTCCAGAACGATTTTTAACGAACTCTTGTCTAATCGACGATGTATGACAGAAGGTTGCAAGATTACACAAGTTACAAAATAATCTTAACACGCATGATGCGATTAGTGGCCGAGCCGTGGCAGAACGTGCCCTTGCTCCTTCGAATGATCAGATTAGAAAAATCCTAATAACTGCGTGACGTATTAAGGCTATCGCAGAGATAGCCGTGTGCAAAGCGATGTCGACCCAAAGCAAAATAAGATTAAAGAGCCTGGGTGAAACTTTAGATATACATATCCGGTCGTTCTCTCCGCTTCTCTCTCAAGTGCCTGTCACGTGAATCCTAGACCTCATTGGTCCACATTGCTTCGACGTTCATAAACATTTACATCATTGGCTCGGCGAATGCTCGATGACAGCGAGAGGAAGAGAGGGAAGAAGGACAGATAAAGTGAACTCCTCCTCTCCTGAGCAATCTTCTGAGGGATTTTTCAGAGAAGGCGTCTCTCTCTCTCTCTCTCTCTGTTTTTACCCTGTTTCTTCAAAAGAGTGACACCGCCCAACTTGGCTGCGCGAGCCAAGCACGAGCACAAAAGAATTTGCTTCAGACTCTTGTCAGCTCATTCGTACCTCTGCCACTGCCGTGGCTATCACGGGATGTCGTCTGAAGGAACGACTGCGACGAGCACAGAGAAGACGACGCCTGGCCAACGTGAAGAGCACAAGACAAAAGTGAGGAGACGTTGCTGCGATTTCCTACAACGCGGAAGACACGGCGAGGATAAGCACCTCAAGTCGATATCCTGGTGGACTGAGAAGAGGAGATTGCCGCTGCTACCGTCTCTGCCAGCCAACGGCTACATCTGCCGAATATGTCGCGCCGATGTTCACAAGGTATCGTTGTGTGAAATGTGTAATGCTTTTTTCTTTATCGACAGCATGCTTCTTCTAGCTGCGCTGATGATCAGATCCTGCGCATCGAGAGAATGGCTAATGTCACCGAAATTGGATAAATCATTTTCGGTGTCAACTGTGTCGTCTTCTTGTCGTTCTAACATGGAGCATGGCGGCAGCAAGAGCGATTTGCACAAATCGCACTCGACTCGTTTGTTGCGCGCGACGCTTCGTCCTCCCGCACGAATTTGACCGAGTCGCGTTTACAGCCATCGTTCCAGTTCTCGTCATTGTATCTGGGAAAGTACCGAGGGTATCGTAAAGTGTTGAATTTCGTCGTTCGTTTCTGCGATTTCGGGGAACGATTTATGTTATTCTCTCTCTCTCTCTCTCTCTCTCTCTCTCTCTGCCTCGTGTGCACGCGGAAAGTGTCTGTTTTCTCGCTCATTCTCGCTCTTTCTCTCTTTCTCTCTGCGTCCTCCGCATGATTCTATCATCGCGATGAGCTTATACGTAAGCTTATTCGTAAAGTTACATCCTGCGTGTGAAATCGTTGCTTTCGTTGACATTGAGAGGGGAAGAAATGACCGTGGCACTTGTAACGGAAAAGATTTTACCAAGAGAGAGAGAGAGAGAGAGAGAGAGAGAGAGAGAGAGAGAGAGAGAGAGAGAGAGAGAGAGACAAAGTTTACATGGAGTTAACAACGTAATGTACAACATAAACGCCGGATCAAAATAGAGACCGGAACGCGCGTGTGTACAAAATGGAGATGTAAACAAATTATTCTACTTGAGTAGATTTTACACTGTTATTGCGATAACTTCGGTCACTTTGTGTACAAGCATTCCCGGCTCGTTCGCCATCACTTCGAGTTCTTCGTGACGTGTAAGAGAGAAAGAGAGAGACTTCCCTCTTTTCCAGACAAAGGATTCCTCTGTCCCGCTTAGCGGGAGATAAATAAGAGCAGAAACGCAGCTGAGAGGAGCCGTCTGGCCGATTGAAATCTGAGCCGGCTGAAGTAATTGGTAAATCAACAAATTGATCCAAATTGATCGGTCGACGAAATTAATTGTGATTTGATTGATTGTACATTGAGATTAAGGATTAATCAATGTGCAATCAGTCGAGTGAAAGTGATCGATCGAAGCAACCGCCATATATATAATCACGATTTATTCGCGATACTAATTCGAATTATTCCAGTCCATCAAAATTTTAATGTCGATTAATGTACAACACTGGCGTGTCCGATATGAGTTTTATGATACATGTCATCAGTTACCGAGAAGAATGGAATGAAGACAACAATGTTGAAGACTCACCGCGCAACTCACCGCGATATTTTCTTTTTCTCTCTCGTGACTATCGATTCCTCCTTCCACCCCGTCTAATTTACATATAAATATTGGATGTGAATCCGGTCGAGCGATCGGAAGAACAACGAGCCAGAGATTGAAAAGCACATGTTTTTATCAGGCCTTCAGTAATTTCAGCGCGTGATAGCCGGTTGCGAGCGATTATAAATATTTCTCGCTAGTCCACCACGAGCTAGCTTTAGCTGCTAGCTTTAGCTGCTGAATAAATAACGAGACGAAGAGCGCCCTCAATATTCAATACGAGCAGGTAAACCGGTTGTTTCACCGCGTCAATATTCTACGAGTGAATTGGATAGTTAAGGTATAAGAATAGTTTGTCCGCAGTGAGAATGAGCTTATCTACCTTCGCTTCGCTTCGCTTAACACAGGATGATTCGGCAGAGTAACCTATATAAGTCCCTTACAAGTCACGTTCAAAGATCACGCATGTCCGACGTGTTACTCTAAACGATATCAGACTCGAATCTTGAAGAGGTAAATTAGTAGAAAAGGGACGTGCGTATATGTGTGCGTCGACGAGAGCGTAACGAGGGAAAAATCTCCGACTTTAAGCAGGACCTCTGCTATCTAGTCGATTATCTCTGCGAGCGGATGAAGACGAAGAACAACAATGGCTGGCTCAAAGAATCAGCCAGCTTTCAAAACGGGCAATAAATATTTCGAGGCTCATATTTCTTTACGAGCGAATCACAAGAACACAGGTCGAACGTCGCAGGCAAGCGTTTCTTTCGGAACTGGAGGACCCTTCCACTTTAAGGTGGTAGGTTCCGTACGATAATTTCCTTTTTCTGCTAGCCTTCCTCGCCGCGAGGCGTGTTGCGCAGGCAGCGGTGAAGGCTGCAATGAAGAGTAAACAGCGCCGAAAAAGGGCTCTTATCATCACGTATCTCGTGCAGAAGGCATCAACGATGAATAAGATTAGGTGAAACGATACCCGAGGGGGAAATGTATCTTCCCTCGTCATTTCTTCACTCTCCGATTGGTCGGAGTAAACACACATTTCGTGAGTAAACGCACAAAATATCTGAGGCGATATTTGCGATCTCCAGATCGGGTCGCTTCTTCGAGATAAGCCTCGGTCACGTCTTTGAAAGAAATTGGGCCTCAAAGAAGTTACATGTTAAGGGCAGATAATGCCCGATGGCGGCCATCGTCGCGGAGATACCGATCAGAGATTACGAACGAAATCCTTCTTGCCGAGTCCTCGGCAAGCGCTCCTCCTCGTGAGCGCAACAGTCGCCGCCGCCAGCGAAGATCACGCAGCACGAGACAACGTGCAACGATAACGACGACGATAACGGAACAACCCCGTGCGATCCGGCGGCATGTTGCTCGTTGGGACTCGACTGGAGATCTAACCGCGACAAACACGATGGTGATTGTTTCAGTTGAAAGGCGAACTGCAGAAGTTAGGGTTGCCCAAGCAGTCTGTCGGCGAGGCGCTGCTACAGCTCACGACCAGGCCGTGCGTGCTCCTGAAGAGCCAGCTCGCGAAACCTTATCATGGGTGAGTCGAACTCGCATGATTTCTTCGGGAATTCCGCCCGGCGACGCTGCTTGAAACTTCAGGTGGCACTAGTTGTAGCGTTAAACCTACGGTTTCAGAGCGCAACAATCGCCGTTCCCGTCGAACAAAGAGCCGCCGCGGTCGCAGCACGACGACTGCCGATATTCCGTTTCATTCCTCGAACGGCGGTTTCAACACGGCGAGCGTGAAGACGACGCTGTGATAAAATACCGGTCGGAAGGTACACGAGATCCCGTAGCTCAGCAACTTAACCGAAAGGGCGAAAGCGATGTAAGATTAGACGCGGCAGCTGAGGCTTTATCGTTGAATATTATGACGGACGCTGATAAAACTTGTGCGAATGACGCTCCCGAGTACAGCTTATCAGAGGGGAGATCGTCGACAAGCGACGGTTCGGAGAAATCGATAAATTACGAAATGGAACACTTTCATCTCGGAAATGAAGTTACCGGCTCGATAGATGAAGCTGTCTTCGTATTAGGCACCAGCACACCCAGCAAACGGAAGTGTCCCTCGTCAGGGACGAGATTAATGCCCAGACCGAGAAAGCATCATTTTTATTCTGTAAACGGTGGCTTTTCAACAGGTGCCGTTCCCGATGAAGAAACAACGAAGAGGAAGAGGAATGAAGAGGCGAACCGTAGACGGCCCTCATTGACGTCGAGCGAGTCGTCAGACTGTACGACTGTGCGAACGCATGGCTGTGAATCCAGTGACAATATTCCCGGCATCGACATCCGGCGACTCGACTTCTCGAGCAGCGCCATGACCTCCGAATGGAAGATACGAGATTACGAGGCAAAAGTTGACAGAGCCGTGAGTGAGGACGAAGTCGCGACTACATCGGACGAGCGCGCACAGAAGTCCCGGCTCGACCGAAAGTTTCCGATTGAGCAGGTAAATTCATCAACAATTAAATGCCAAGCCCGTTTAAACCCACTAGACCCATTCGACCCATTAAAATCACACGATTCCAACGAAAAGCGCGAAACTCAATTTGCAGTACACAGACCGACACAAGAGAAATCTGCCTGGGCCGGGAATCGGCTATAAAACGGGAGACAAGAGGAAGCTGACTTCGACGGACGAACCTGTCACGTTAAGCGAAAAGATCCAGAGGAAGATCCAGATGGATAAGTTGGCGGCTATGAATCTGACAATCGGTGATACCGAGCTAGCTAATAGATACGGAAGAGTCACTGACGATGAGTTTACCGAGCGAGCCACTGAAGGAGACGCTGAAGAAGATCCACGGACGAATCGACCAAGAAACAAGGGATGCGCGAAAAGCGACAGAGACTCGCCCGCGATGGACGCGATTAGCAGAATGGAGACGACGAAGACGATCAAGTGCGTACGGAAGAAATTTCGCAATATATTCGGTGGGATTGTCGATAGCAGCGAGAGCGAGGAAGAGCGCGCAATTTTACGCGCATACGTCGCGAAGCAGAGATCCATCGATTCGTACAGTACGAAGGCGGGAGACTTCTCCGAGGACGACGTAGCGTCGTGTAAGCGCGAGGTTTACACGCCAGTCGATCACTCGCAGAATGACTCAGCGGACCTGGTGGGGGCGAAGCCCGAGACGGGTGGTGACTCCTTTGCTACTAGCTTCGCGACTAGCGATATGGAAAATGTTACGAGTCAAAATGACACGTCTATAGATTCTCCCACGCTCGGGCCAAATGTGAATGCTGCAGAGACAGATGAGGTGGATAGGAATAAGGAACAAATGCAAGAAATACGTACGCTACTTCGGAACTTTCGACAAAAATTGTCGAGGGAGATATCGAGCGTCTTCGAGAGAGAGAGGCCGAGTGACGGCTGGAGCAGCAACATTGAGCACATTTTAAGAGAGATTCGGAGATTTACCGACGATACAGGCAGCTCTGTGACCGACGAGGATGCAAGTGTGCACGACGACTCGAAATCGAATGTAGATTCGTTGAACGCATCCCCGAGGACGAAACTCATTTCTGACATCGAGGACAGTGAGAACAGCGATACTTGTGATACGGCTGATCCAGCATTGAGAAGTGACATCGCGGGTAACAGCAGCTCCTCGATAGCCGGTCGCGATTTTACAGCCGAGTTTCCGGAGAAGAGCCGCCAGGCGCGCGCTGTCGGCAACGAGAGCTGCGGCGTAGACGTGTCTTCTTCGATCAACATCTGCCCTCAAACGTCACCGGCCGTGATCACTGCCAATCGTGGCTCGACACCGACGTCTCCGGAGAAAAATTCCCACGCGTCGGTAAGCAACGTCAACGAAGATTCGTGCGTGGACGCGCCCGCAAGTCGATCCTCTGTAAATACCGAAAACAATCAAGCGTCAGCGGGCGGCGCTTCTGACTCCACCGATGAAATTGAACTGACGATGAAGGTCAGTTCGAGCTCGGAGCCTGCGAACGAAGATGAGATCTCGGTGAAAATTCCACTGTCCACGAACAAGAGCAACATCGAGAAGATTAACAACGAGCTTCGCTGTGTGATCTTGAAAGTCTCGTCCAAACTCACCGCGAGCGCGACTGCAAGTGCGAGGCAGATACTGAAAGGTCTGTTCGATGCTGGTCAAGTTATCGCTAAGAGCGTCGAAACTCAAACAGACACCAATCGCTCTCTACAGGAGGAGAATGCTCTGGCGGATGCACGACGCAGGAGTAACGACGACAGGGAGAATGCGACGAGGGGTGATAAAAGAGCAGAAGGTGACCGATCCGTCGAGCGAGAGAGCGCGCAACAGACAGCAACGCTGCTGTTCTCAGCGGAGACCAGTACCGAATGGAAGGGCGTCTTCGGCATGCCTGATCCAGACGGACCAAACACTTCTTCGTGTGCAACGGGAAGGAAGAGCGCTGCTAAAGACTCAGCCACTGCCATCGGGTCTCCTCGAGTGTCCGAGTCCTCTTCGTTACCGAGTTCTTCGGCCAGGAACTGGAAAAGTTACAACTTAATGAACAAAGAGGTCAAATTGTTACAGAATATCGGCATGTGTCTTCAGATGTATCGTATATTTGTCAATGACGACACCGATTTGAATTTCCAACAAAAACAACTGATACATTTCGGAACGAAGTTGTTCCAACTCCTGATAGAACTGGAACAGTTATTGTCGGAAAACGGAACGGATGCTTATCTGGTCATGGATTGTATCGTACACAAGCTTAATCGCGGTGTATTAAAAAGCTGCCCGACGTCGGACGCAGAAATCATGAAGTGCCTGCACGTAAGCTTCGCATTAAAGACCGACGGGTTAAAGTACGTCGGTGATGCTTCCAGTCAAGCAACGGCCGCGAGCGCAACGATGCCGAGTGCCAGCGCGCAGAATTTGCCTCAAGCCGTTCAACGTGGATCACCGTCAGCCCAGGAAATACCGAAACCGAGAGAAACGACGAAAGCAGCTGCTGACAAACAGCAATCTCAGACAGCCGCGACAAAAGCCCCGAGTGAACCGAGCAAGGCCGCGCGCGTACCGCAACAATGGCTGCCAAGTGCAACTAGTAGCAGCAGCAGCAGCAGCAGCTCGCAGGGCTTGCCGGCGAGCGGCACGGAGCAACCGTCGTCCGTGCAGCCGAGTCCAACGAGCGCGAACGTCAGCTTCCCGCGATTAGCGGAGAACGCGAGCAACGTCCCGCACATGCCGGGAGCAAGCTCGGCTTGTACGTCCGCGAGTATCATCGGTCAGCAGCAATCCTCGGCCAGCACGAGCGGTACTCAGCGTGCGCAACGGTCGTCGAGTTCAGCGACGGATAGGATCGTTGGACAGCAAGAATCGTTGAACAGTGCAGTCCCATGCGGGCAGCGGCCGAGTTCGAAGCCGACAAACGTCCAGCAACCGGCCGAGGCTGCTAAGTTATACAACTACGCCATGCTGGAGCGAAATGCGATGCTGCAGGAAAATATGCGGTATTTCTTGGCCAGCATAAACAACGTTCCGCAGACGAGGGGTCAAGTGACGCCGGCGGGTCCCGATGGGCAGCCAAGCCTGGCCGAGAAGCACGACGACTCGGCGAAGAGCGCGTGCGACGTTGTACCGCCGCCGTCGCGGATGAGCACCGATCAGCAGCAACAATCCGCGAGGAGTATACTCAACATCCCGAGCTTGCAGTCGCAGCAACGCGCAGCGACCGGAGAACGGAGCCAACAGCTCGGTGAGTTCGTCGGAGCTGGGACCTCCGCGAACGCGAGCAACATTGCGTCCTCGGTGCTGAACATCAATCAGCCTCGACGCGGCGGCGCGAATGTCGCTGCGCACTGCGGTATACGCGAGCCCTTCAGAGACATGTCGAACGTCAGCAACAAACGACGTATCTGTTCGCGACCCACGTACCCGGCGTGTACCAACGTTGCTTATCCAACGTTGCCGCCGGACGCACAGAACGTCCTCGTTCGCCCGAGCGACGTGAACGCGTGGAAAAACGTGAGCTCGCTGCCTGCTAGCGCGGCTGCAGGCATCAGCGGCAGACCGCCACGGCTGCCGCCACAGACGAGCAACGGTACAGCGATGCTCGTGAATGCGCAGCAACAGCAACAAGTAGTCGCGGCGGGCGAAAACATCCCTCTCATTGGCACCCTGTCAAACGTAATCAACACTTTGTCGACCCTTTCCTCAGCTCCTCAGCAGCTCCTCCAGAGCGCCCTGCCGAACGCAGCGGGGAACGCAGCCAGACCGCAGCCTGACACCTCATCTCTCTCAAGGCCGCGAAATCCTCTAGCTCATCATACGTCAGCTGTGCAGTACAGTTTGCCTACGTATCCGATTTATCCACCGCAACAGTCGCAATACATGCACTTTCCGCCCTTCGACCCACGACTGTACGTCCTAACGTACAACCTGGGGGGGAACGGCGCGAACATTGCACCGACGGCGAGTAGCATGATGCATAACCCCTTCCCCGTGAACGCCGCGGCGGCGGCAGCCACGGGCGGCATCCTCGCGGCAGCTTCGCCGAGCGACTTGCCGTCGAGTACGTCGCAGTCCACCGCTGCGAGGACGCGGCGATACACGCGCACGGCGAAGCAAGTGGCTACGACGTCGGCCACGAGCTCACAAAAGAACGTCCCGCAAAATGCCGTTGCGACCGTTGCGACGAAGGCACCATCGACTTCGCTGCAGAAGACGACCACGAGCGCACCATCGTCGAGCCATCCGCTGGAAACGCCGGTGTCCTTGGAAAAAGCCAGCGCTCCTGCGCAGGACACCTCGGCGAGGCGCGACGTGGACGACGGTGCGTTGATCGAGACGCAGAGGAACCCCGCTGCGGAGCCACATCAATTGGAACAAAATTCACAAAGGAACACGTCCGCGGATACCTCCACGATTCCATCCCAAGATCCGCAAGATCTTTCTAAACTTCCGAAGAATCCGGCTGATTTCCCTGCGGATTCATCCGCGGATCTCTCAAAGGATCCGTCCAATCTCTCGCAAAGTGCATCTAGTCTCTCTAATAATCCGCTTAAAAGCAAGTTGCAGAGGGAAGCGGAACAGTTTGCGGCGACCGAGAGCGAGCAGACATCGTCGCGAATGTCGTCGTTGCAGCTTGCGGCGGCGCAGACCGCTCACAGCTTTAATTTCAACTTGAACATCTTCACGGATGACGAGCAGCGTACGATTCGAGAGCATTTGGATTATTACCTCAGCATCTCCCCTAAACAGATACGGCTTACATTTGCATTCAGGAAGCAGCAACTGCAACTGTGGAAGTGGGAGAGGAGCATGTTACGTTGCTTCCAGAATTGCTTGCAGACGAGCATTCCCTGCGAGCTCACAGAGGTAACCGGCGAAGAGGTGCGAGATGGCGAGGCGCAGTCGCTCGTCGCCTGCCGGAAAGAAAAGTCACCTGAGCGAGAAAGCGACACGACGGAGCAGAGGCGTGGGCAAAAACTCGAGAAGATGATACAACGTCTGTACAATAACTTCAATCCGGACGCTTCGACGTCGACCTCAACGATGATAGATTCGTCGATGAGACTGCGAGAAGAGGAGTCTACACCGACGAAGCACACAACGACAAAGACACCACCCTCCGGACTTGTCGAGCATGTAGAGTCGCGAGAGCAGAATAAAGACATGCCGCTGCTGCTGTCGCCGTCGCCGTCGCCGACGACGACAACGACAACGACGACGACGACGACGACGACGTCTTTGGTCCCGGAACTGACATCTTCTCTCCAACAACCGAGTACTTCGCCAAACATTCCGAATGCGTCGCGCGAACACCCGACGGCGGATGCGCGGGATACCACGGAACCTGAAGAAATTGCCGAGCCTACGCCAATGGTTTCGTCTGCTAAACAGCCGTCTAAACCGTCCTCGTCTCCTCTTGTGGTAGATACACAGGTACTCGGCGACGAATGCAAAGAAGAGTCAAGCTCAGACGTACAGCTGATCGACGAACGCAGAGATGAGTCAAGTTCAAATTTGCAAAAGCAGATCGACGAGATACTTTTCTTGGGGAGATACGGACCGGATGTTTGGACGGACGACGCGATAAAGCATGAATCCGTGAAACACGAGAATCTGCCAGATATAGAAGAAGACATAGGTGCAAACCTGATCGATTTGTGTCACAGTTCGCTGGAAGTGGAAGACGTTGAGATAACGCACGAGTCATCGGTACCAAAGACGGAGGAAACGGAGGAAGTTCAAGTATCAGAAAACTTTGAAGTTTCGAAGGATGAATCTTTCGAGGGAGAGATCGTTCGATCGCAAGCAATCGGTACCTCGGTGCGGTGTGAAGATACGAAAGAGGAGACGAAATTGTCCACTTGTAGTGACCTTGGAACAAGTAACGAACAACTTTGTCTCTCGTTGGAACTGAAACACGAAGAATCACAGGTTGTCGTTAAGATAGAAGATACAGAAATGTACCCGAGCATTATCGCCGTAAACGATGCTGACATCGCTGCGTGCAATTCTATGAAGATGGAAGACCTGGATCCTGCGAATACTCTGAATATCTTAGGCATCTGCAGCATACCGCCGTCCTCATACGATCAGATGCAAGATTTCGATACGCACTTGATCCACGACGATGAGTCGCAGCTCTGGGATGAGAAAGAGGATAAAGAATTGTGCGATGTAAACAATGCTTTGGAAATTATGGACATGGACGATATACCGTGCTTACGTTGCAAACGTAAGAGCGCAGTGTGCTGCGAGAATTGCTTGGCCGCTTGTTACTGTTCCAAGCGTTGCGCGAATCTTCATTGGCATTCGAGTCACCATATGCACTGTAAACCACACAATCACTCTATCTCCCCTCCTGATGATTTACAATCGGACTAGAGATCATCTTGGCTCGCATCCCAAAATACAAACAATGTTCCTTGGAGATCCTGAAGTTCCTTGAACCAATATATAGATAATATTGGGCCTTCCATTCGCTTATTACAATCGATATTTTTTTGTTGCATTTAAAATATCAAGGTTCATCCTCTACAATAACAGTATTCCATAAATTATTACATGATGTAGGATGATGAGATAAACAGCAGCAGGATGAAATAATCATTTGTAAGGACGAGATATATTTGAAAGTATCGATGAAAAGAACTTGTGTAATTGTACTCCTATAAACATCTAAAATATTATTTGAATAGTTATATTTATATATTTATAATTTATAATAAAAAAGGATATATGTGTGTATACACATACACACATATGCGCATACACTCACACACATACGCAATATATTCGTGTTTGTTTTCTCTGAATCGAACCTCACATTTATCTCATGTAAATATATGTTTATATATCATACCTTCTTTTAACAGATTCTTTTAGCAACTCAAGCTGTTGATAGAATCGATATATTAAGTTTTCTTTTTTACCCTTCTTCTTCCGTTTTTTCCATTTCTCTGGTAATATCAGAATATACTAAAAGGATATTATAATATTACAAAAGAAAAGAAGAAAACAAATATTGAACTATATAATACAATATAACGATTGCAGTTATAGTACAAGTATGGTAACAATCATAACATGAAGAAAGAATTGATGTATTCCCTTACCAATTTATTGACTCAATTGTTTGTAAGGCAATACAAAGCAGGATATATATTATACAGAATGCTAACGATAGATATAACCATTACGAATCGAATGGTATTAAATTCTATTCCTCATAACCATCAGGTAGAGGATTTGTTTTACGATTGTGGAAGAGGCTGTGATTACCATCTCCCCATGGGAAAGACTGAAAACAATATTATAAGATTATAGATGACAGAAAGTCAAGTATTAGTAAAAAAAAGGATTGAATTTTCAAATTCTATATCTATATTCAATATGTTAAATACATACCTTATTTCTTATTCTCAAATGGTCATACGGAATGAATTCTGGACGTTCGTCATGATGATGAGCCTGATGATTTAAATAGGAATTAAGCATAGCCAGGCCTATTGCTGGAAAGGCTACGAAAAACGACAGCCTCTTCCACAAGATTTCAGCATTCTCTGCAAAGCATATAACATCCCTGTTATGTAATATATATATATATATATATCGACGTTTCACATGAGGACCTTCATGTGATTTATCTTAATTAAAAAATTGAGATCATCATAACATTGTTTACATATAGATTGCAATGCTCAAACGTCAGGTAATATTTAATAAGAACGATACTGTACATGTAACCAGTGACAGTATCGTTCAATTAAGCAGACCGTAATTTATGCAAATAAAAATTCACGTTGTTTACAAATGTAGGAAAGGGAAATTATTTTATTAAATTTAATTTGCTTACTTGAATGGGTACTTCCTTCAGTAGAAGCAGACGAATATTTCCTCGTAAATGTACGAACAACTCTTGTCCAGGCAGCCATTGTTGCTCCTCTTCTGCTTTGCTCTAAAAACATTGATAAAATCCACGTTACAGATGGAATACAAGTGCAGACTTAAAAGGCCATCGCGCACAAAATCACATAGATATATAAGCCTAGCATAAGCTCGTCTCGACCAATGAACATCGAGGAAAATTTATTTAATTGTGGTTAGAGTCTCGGCTAAAATTTATGGAGGCCGATAAATCGTGGTTTGAGTCTCGGCTAAAAATTTGACTATTTTCTTCAACTTGGTATCAGGAGATTGGTGTTTTGGTATTAGGAGAACATAATGTGTGAGGAGTTGTACGAAATAAATTTAGCCATTTACCGACCTCCATAAAATTTAGTCGAGACTCGAACACAATTACTGATTTGAAATTTCGCTCATTTTTTCAATTTTGCGTAAAAGGAGAATATAATAAGCAAAGAGGTATGTCGAATAAATTTAGCCAAGACGTAAATTATAGTTTATCGGTTTATATAAATTTAGCCAAGACTCAAATCACACACATATATTAATTTGAACAGTGTAGCTTGGTGTAGCTGCACTACTTATCGGGTGTTACATTACATTTTATGAAAATTAACATTCTTCAATTCTTGAACTATTTAGTTGGATTCTTCGAAACACTCCGTATTAATTAACGTAATTTAATAAATTGATTAAAAGCCAACTTTTTTGTCAAGACTTGAACCATATTTTATCGACTTGCATCATATTGAGATTCCATCCACATTTGTTTGAGACTGAACAAAAGTAAAAGCACGCAGTACTAATCCTACGTTTTTTTTTGTTATTTAGCAAGTGATTTAGCAAGTTTATTTCTTGCCTTACCATTTATCAAGCTGCGAGTAAACGCTTCCAATCAGCTGAATATATAAATATTCAAAACAATGTCAGACACTGTCGGAAAGGTATGGGTAGACATTAATTTCAACAAGTTTGTTATCAACTTGCCGATTTATCTTTTATTGTTAATTCTTATTATAATCTATTACTCATCATCATCTGGAATTTATTGCGCCACATTTTTTCCATTTCTTCAGTTTGTCATTATAAATACTAGCCTTTCTCGTTTATTGGATATCAAACTTTTGATATTATAATGTTTGATATAATATAATTTGAATTTATAAATATTTATATTTATAAATGTTGGCTTATAAAAGAGATTGAGCAATTTAAATGTATTATATCAGGTGATCAAATGCAAGGCTTTTGTGGCATGGAAGGCAAAAGAGCCTCTGTCTCTGGAAGAAATCGAAGTAGCACCACCGAAAGCGCACGAAGTTCGCATCAAGATAGCAGCTGTGGCACTTTGCCATACAGATGCTTACACTTTAGATGGGTTGGATCCAGAAGGGACATTTCCCTGCATACTTGGCCATGAAGGAAGTGGCATTGTGGAAAGTGTCGGAGAGGGTGTCGATGAATTTCAATGTGGTATAAACTTATTGCAGAATAATCAATCGACTGTATATAAATTAAGATTGTCCTGTAAATTATTGTAAATCATATCATGACCAAATTGTATTGTCGGCTGAATTATAGCTACTTGACACATTGGATTATGTATATAAATAATTACAGGTGATCATGTTGTGCCACTTTACATTCCCCAATGTGGGGAGTGTAAGTTCTGTAAGTCACCGAAAACAAACCTGTGCAGCAAAATTCGTGATACTCAAGGTAAAGGCTTAATGCCTGATGGTACATCTCGTTTCATGTGCAAGGGACGGTCAATTGCACATTTCATGGGTTGCTCCACCTTCTCTGAGTATACAGTGGTAGCTGATATTTCTCTCGCAAAGGTATCAGTGTCATGTATTTTAACAGGATCATACAAAATGCTTTCATAACAGTAAGCTATTATACAATCATTATGAATATCATTGTAGATTACACCTGAAGCGCCATTGGACAAAGTATGCCTCTTGGGTTGCGGAGTATCCACAGGCTATGGTGCAGCTTTAAACACTGCAAAGGTAGAGCCTGGAAGCACTTGTGGTATATGGGGGTTAGGAGCTGTCGGTATGGCCGTGGCACTCGGCTGCAAGAAATCTGGCGCATCTCGTATTATCGGAATAGATCTTAATCCCAACAAATTCGAGCAAGGTAATTTAACGCAACAGAAACATGAATATGAATGTCGGAAAGTGTTTTATGAAATTATAGAAGATACGTATATGACAAGGTTTTACAAATATTCCCGTGTTTCGTTTGCAGCTAAACTCTTTGGATGCACAGAATTCATTAATCCCAAGGATCATGATAAACCTATCCAGCAGGTGTTAACCGAGATGACTGACGGTGGACTAGATTATACCTTTGAATGTGTTGGAAATGTAAACACTATGGTACGGCAGATCTGTCTGTGTTTTACGCGAAAGGAAGAGAGAAGAATCGCGTTCTATGAGAAGTGATTTTCAGAGGGCCGCATTGGAATCCTGCCATAAAGGATGGGGCACGTCCGTGATAATAGGAGTGGCCGCGGCTGGACAGGAGATCAGTACTAGACCGTTCCAATTGGTCACAGGCCGAGTGTGGAAAGGAAGTGCGTTTGGCGGATGGAAATCAAAGCAAAGCATACCGAAACTGGTGGATGAGTATCTGTCGAAGGAATTGCTTCTCGATGAATTTATCACGCACCATTTCCCGCGCGAGAAAATCAACGAGGGGTTTGACTTGCTGCATTCGGGAAATTGGTAAGTTTTAAAAGAGTTTAAGATGGACGTACCGATAATATGAGACGATTTTTCTGTTGCAGCTTGAGAGCTGTTATTAAATTCCAGTAATTAAGTTCCTTGCTTCTCATGCCGGCTCCATACGGTCTTTTGATTCTGGTGATTTACGTGAATCCACGATTTACGTGAAAAATATACACGATAAGATACATATATATATATATATATATACATATGTGAGGTTTTCTATTCACGAATTGTACTGTTCGTTTGTTACGTACTTTTGCATGTACTGAATGACGATGCTAGAAACAAAAGAGATTCAATAAATTTGGTATCAATATCATACCATACGTGGTTTCGCAAAACACTCTAACCAATTTCTACAACAATCTTTATTCATAAAGAATTCTTACAGCCACATGTACAATACCAATCAAGTGAGATACTTACGGTAGCTCTTGAATGAAGTAAAAATTCTTTACGCTTTGATCAAGTGCATACCTTACAAAAACCATCACGGGTACGAAGGTCACTGACGATGATTTTCTCATTGTATATAATTATGTATATACAATATGCAAGACTCGATAAAACTATTTACGTTCGCTTGTAGTTTATATTAATTAGTCTAGATCGACAGTACAATAAGTCAGGCAGAATGCAAATTGCGCTTGATGCAGGAAGGAGTATGCGTTAGCTCATTGCGGACGATGTTGTTTTTATCAGTTAAATATGCAGATATAATTTCTTTTCTCTCCCCTCTCAATTGTCATCCACATATCCTTGTATGCGCAAGATTGACACGCCATGTCCGTTAAGGCAAGACATTATGGATCCGACATTATGAACCGACAACGATCAGGACACCTACGTTTTAAGTAACAAAAGACAAAATGCAGAGAGGTGTAAGTTTTTGTTTATAAAAATAGATAGTTGAAACGATAAGTGTTATCATGTATCGTGTGAGTGAGAACAAAACGAAGCGCGTACATGGATAAGGAAGTGAGATAATCAAGAGACGTTCTTAATCGTGTCTTAATCAAACACTTCAGTACGTACCATTTTGCCTTTGATCCGTACCTCTGATGAGGATGAGTATTATTTTCCCTGAATACCTCGCTAAAGGAATGCATGTCGCGCGAAGTGAGACGCGTTAGGCTCGCAAAATGAATCGTCACTTTCACCATTCTAAATGAGACACGTGTAATTTGCATTGACTATCTCTACGTAAATTGCCTTCTAATGCTAGGGGCATATTCACATAGTCACACTGATCTTTTTTTTTTCTCTCTACGGATTACATGTTATTCTAATATCTACGGTGTACCACACACTCTTTAAGTAAAAGTTGTAAGTAAAAATGCTTATAATTACAGTAAATGCAGACGAATCACGACGTCGAACATTTTTCTAGCTTCGTAGAAAACAATCTCTCTCTTTTTTTCTTTCTTTCTTGATCTCTCGCTCTCTTTCTTTCTATTTCTTGTTCTCAGTGTCGCGTGATGGATGTTTCGATTGCGCGTGTGAAAAATCATAATGCGTATATACTTCTCTCTGCGAATCGAGCCGCGCGATAATACAGGATGACAACACAGCACATCCCGTTTCCCGTTTACTTCGTCTAAATAAGCGACCTCTCGTCTCAATCAACCATTCTCAAACGGTCCTCACACGGTCGTGATTGAACTGCGGTGTAGTATGAAATAGGTCGTTAGCGAGTACGAAATAGGTCGTTCTTTCTTCCGTGTATAATCTTACACTATAATTCCGCATCATAACGCAAGGCGGCTACGAGAGAAAGAAGAATAACTTAAAAAGTGCGCTCCGAGCTTGCCCGAAAGAACGGAATAAATAAGCGGGACTCTCTATTACCGCGCGTTCGGCGAAAACACAGCCGAAAGTGAAGTGACAAGAGCTTTACGGGAACCTATTTCGTTTTGTGGATCAACTAAGCTCTCTCAGCGCGAGTGCAAGCGCGACGGTAGAATGAATTCGCACTTTTACCCCGTTGACGCTCTCATATGCTCTCTCTCTCTCTCTCTCTCTCTCTCTCTCTCTCTCTCTCTCCCCCCCCTCCCTCTCCCTCTCTCTCTCTCCCTCGCAGTTAACTCGACTCTACACACGGTTGCTGCACTATTATACCATATAGAAATCATAATTATCATGTCCGTAACGTTATGTATATCGGGTTAATCTAGCGGTTAGAAATCATATACAGGGCGCGTCACTCGCGTGTTTCCTCGTTAAATGTTAATTTTGCGTCAGAGCGCGTATGTGAATTCTGGCAACGGTGCAACGAAATTATCCTGCGCGTTCTGTTCCGTGTCCAACATGTCCTCTCTCTCTCTCTCTCTCTCTCTCTTTCTTCTCCTCCCTCGCCCTCGTCGTCCAGGTCAGCTCTATCTGTCGCATAGTTTCGCGAATCCCTCTATTTTGTATACGCGTAAATAGTTCGTAATTATGGTATTTATAGACGAGTTGTGCATCGAAGGTACCTCTCGATGGTGGCGCGGAGATAATCCGCCGGTCGGTATTCAGCGCGGCTCGTAAATGCGGAATTGTCCCCCTTTCCGCCTCTCGCTCTCTTTCTCTCTCTCTCTCTCTCTCTCTCTCTCTCTCTCTCTCTCTCTCTCTCTCTCTCTCTCTCTCTCTCTCTCTCTCTCTCTCTTTCTCTCTCTCTCTCTCTCTCTCTCTCTCTCTCTCTCTCTCTCTCTCTCTCGCACGCTCCGTCGCCGGCAAGCCTCACACGCACTTTCGGTCGTATTTGCGTATTCCCTACACGGACTATCGGAATATTGCGCGGAATTACGATTGCACGGGGTCTACGGCATTCGGTGGCGGCGAACGTCGTTAGTCGGACACGCAGTTTATTATTGCACGACAGGCAAGACACTCGCTACTTTATTTACGTCGATTAGAGCTTCCTAATTGGGACGCGACGGACTAAAGAGAGTCGTACGACGACGCGACGATGATCTCTCTCTTTCTCTCTCTCTCTCTTTTTTCTCTCTTTCTGTCCGATCATCTGAGCCGACCTTCCCGAGCCCGTTAACTAATTAATCGTCGTGCTTTTCGTTGCTCTTGGAACTCATCGTTTAGGCTCACACATTTCGTCTTATCGCGCGTGGATCGCGGCCTCGAACAGGACGATCGGCAGGCGGTCCGACGACGTGGAGGAGCAGCAGCCCTGTCGGCTCCGCTGGGCGACCGGACGTCGCGCATCCCCCCTTCCCCTAGCGAGGGGAGAACCCAGCCTTCCGATCGCGCGCAGTCGGCACCGCTTATATCGGTTGGAATGCTGCGTTCCCGTTGCTGACCGCCGTCCCTAATGCGCCTAAAAATCTAATGGTTGATCGGCCGAGCCTTCGAGGTCCTGAGCGGAATCGGTACCACCATCCTCGTCATCGTCGAGATCCACGCTGTTGGTCTTGAGCCCGCCGCTGCTGATCTTGTTCACGATCATGTCTGCAAGAGGTGATTGTTGATCGGAAAAGAGGAAGAGAGACGGATGCGGCTTGAAATGCGCGTTCAATTCGATCAAATCTGTGAAAATTTCGAGCTGCGCTAAAATACGACTCCGCTATGAAATTCGCTAGAGGAAACATTATTAACCGCGCTATTGATTTGCAACGAGAGGTACCGCTCGCGGCCGCTCATTTCCTTGTCACTGAACATCATATATATGCGGTACATGCAAACGCGCGATTTTACAAAATTTTACAAAAGCGAAGTTTAATCGAAGCGCGGGGAGGTTGGGTTATCGCCTCCTCGATTATTTTCTCTCGATGTGCCGGGAACGTTTATCGGAATTTCGACACGTACGTATACTCTTTATTTATCTATTTATTCATTACTGCTGCAGCATACATACCGCAATCGGGCTTGGCGCCGCGCGTTCTGGTGCCGGCGAACTCGACGCCGTGCGGATCGACGCACCAACAGAGGCCAAGGCCGCGGTGGCACTGGGTGCTGCGGTAATATCCTCGCGAGTCGCAGGTAGGTGCTGAGTCCGGCGATGATCGTCTGCGCACCGCGGCGCACGGACGCTCGGCTTTCGAGAAGCAGCCGCACCACTCGGGCCCGCTCACGAAAATGTCGCTGGAAGTACGTAAAAAGCGCGCGGTTAGTGTATGTCTACAACCTTGCTTTAAGAGGATGTAAGCTCTAAGCCGTAAGTGTTAAGTGACGTCATTTCCGTCTCTAAGACATTCCCGCGCAGTATTTAAGCTTTAGCCGTTAGATCTAAGCGAATTGCGCAAAACTCAATTCCTACGGCCTAAAGCGTAGAGCTTAAAGTTGACATATAATTTTCAGCCAATCAGCGAAGAGGACGTTTTGTCGTGTCAAAAAGAATACACCGTCGATCGTGGATATAACCTCGCTCGCCGATATAACCTCCGATTTTGTATTCCATATATTTGTAAAAGATGCACATTCCACGGACACAACACCGTTGTTAGCAGGAGAGCTTGACGTAAATCCATTTTGGTTATGTAGAAAGTAAAGAAACTGCGCGTTTACAAACGCATTATCACCAACCACCAAGTCCACGAATAACCCTTCTCTCTTGGCTGATATACGTCACGTTTAACGCCTTACGTTTTATATTGTGGATTGCCGTTTTTAAGGTTTATTTAACAGTTTTCAGCTTACAGCTTACGGCTTAGAGATCAAATATTTTCTTAAAGCGAGGTTGTACACATACACTTACGCATCGCGCAAGCTCACCGCATTCACGGCGATTGTTATTTATCGTAGCGATTACAGCGATTGTACAATTACAAAATCCGTGCGACTACAAGTAACGTTCTCACCGGCGAATCGTAAGATCGCCGGTGGGGGGAGGGGGGGGGTGATTCGATTCAATTCACCGTCGCACCGTGGAACGTGTAAAGTGACACGCCGTCAACACTCGCGCGAGCAGCGCGATGAAGTAATATCGCGTGTGCAAATTATACGACATAAAAATATTTATTATTGCACCCGCGGAGATACGCGGCAGCACGCGAGTAGTGCCGGAGATTTATGGCGGAGAGACCGGAGGAAAGAAGCGCATTTACGTGCGTCGGTAATCGGCGCGGCAGTAGTAACGGCACGCGACTGGTCAGACCAGATATCCGGCGGAGATACATCTTCGCGTCCGCCGGCGATTATTCTTCACGCTTGGCGCGCTTAACATCTGCGCATTCGATTTACATACGGCGTGTTATCGTCCTCGCGTACGCACGTAAGTAGCCTGAATCTATCGATCGATCTTATCTCAAGCTCGGTGCTGTCGTCGTAGGAAAGTCGCACACGACGCACGCACGAGATAACGCAGGGGAGAGCGTTGGCTCCGATGTGTCGGCTGTAAAAAAAAATGCCCCTCTTTCTCTCCGCCTCGCGCACACGCAGGAATCCACGGGAGAGCGAGTCTCACCTGTCGGTGTCGCAAGCGTCGAGGAAGGGCTTTAAGCACGGTTCGTTCTGATCGTGTTCCAGGCCGTACAGCTCGGAGAGCGAGAGCCGGCCGTCGCTGTCGCTGTCCAAGTGGCCGAACATCCACCTGACCTCGCTCTGACAGCCGATCGGGAAGTGACCTGAAATCGTTCAATGCGATATATTCTTCCTCGTCGTAGGTACACGCGGCTCTGCGAGTAACGCTAAAGGAGGATCAATAAGCGCGCATGTACACGCGCGGCGGACAAGCTGACGCGAGTCGTCTCGCCGGGGCGTGCGGCGAATCGATACGCGCGCGATAAGCGAGACAAGAGATCGCATCATCGGTCGAATCGTTCGATCTGAGAGACCGCGAGGACCTGCACGTAGTGCAGGTTGACGTCCGCGACGCGACTCCGTCGCGGCGGCTTGACGCTGAGAAAGCGCGGGCGCTTTCTTTGAGGAGATATGCCGACGAAACGTCAACAAGTGCCGCGGTGTTGAAAGCGGGATCTCGAAGAATAACAACTTATTCGAGCGCGAGTGGGAAAATCCCGAGTCTCGGATGGAAACCTCTAATTGTTACAATCTCCGGACTATTTTCCCGCTGCGATCCAGGTGTGTTTGGCGAAACCACCTCGCTCTCTCTCTCTCTCTCTCTCTCTCTCTCTCGCGCTCTCTCTCTCTCTCTCTCGATTCAAATGGAATCGCCCGGTACAGAGGTATACGCGCATACTGCACTTTGTTTCGCCTCGGGCAACGTAATACCGTAAGATCAACATAGTAGCGGTACCGTGAGGACAATATCGACAGACAGTGCCCAAAGTAATCGCGACGTAGCTAGGGCGGGAAACGATTCATTGTACGGGGACAATTTCGAACTGGTACGAAACTGATTGTCTCGAAGTCGAATGGCGCGCAGTGTGCGCCGGTACTTCGAAACTGCCGGGTAGATCGTACGTCGCAATGTCCATCCCCTTCCCCGAGGACAATTAGTCTCTCTTGTAGGCGAGGACCTACGTGGCGACTTGTCCCGCGGGAGCGTTACGATACGCTCCGAGCGCATTCCGCGCGGTTATGCGCGTCGCCGCGGCTGCTTAACGCGACTTTCGGTCGCTCGTACGCGCGTATGCCTGTTAGGGAAATATGCGACACACGTCGAGACGAGTTTCGCCGCGGCGGTTTTGCACTCGACGACGGTCGTTTTTAATCAGCGACGAAAATTAAAAAAAACAGTCCCCGGCAATCGGGAGCCCCGGGAGAGCCCCAACGGCGCGGCCGACAAAAGCCTCGTGTCGTCGCCTCCTCGGTGAATTTCGCGTGAGTCGCGCGAGGCAAAGGGATTTATATTCGCTGCTTAACTCTGTGCTTCAGTATGCGACGTTTTAAAGCGTTGAGGGAGAATTCAACGATTGCGTTACGATGCATTAAAAGACGCAGATTCGGCATTAGACTCAGAGCGTAATGTGAAGGACTCGACTGAAAGGAACTCTCGCCGATCAATGGAAGCTGCGACGCTTTTGAAATCTGTTTGCAGGAACTCGCGCGTATGTGTGTCGATCCGAATTTTGCCCCGCAAGTAGCCGGTACTGACATGTCGATAGAAAAAAATACACCGAGAGAAAAGTATATGATATTTGGCACTATAATGATATGGTAACTAAATTATAGTCCGAAATATCATATTTATAGCAAGTATTAGCATAATGTCGGTAATAATTACGATACAGGCATGGTATAATCAAGCATATAATATTTTTAACTAAGAATTATAGCAAGTTAAACTAAAATTATTGTATGAATACAGGTATAAAATGGTAGGTAAACTAACTCTTTTATATAGTCAATATTACCCGAATATTTGCTAAACGATGACAGATGTAACTATATGAATATTAAATCTCACTACATTTGTGAATGAGAAATCACCATATATGTGGTGAAAAAAGTAACTAAACAATTATTTCAGACAATCATTGACTGTACATTTGTGTTTATTCTACTATATTTTGCAGGTTTCCACCAACTATAAAAATATGGTTGACGCCAAAATGAAGTATAAAATATAGTGAGATTATATAGTTAATTCAACTATATTTTTCCATCAGTGTATATTATACGTATCGAAATGTGTAACAGAGCTTTCCTCACCTTTGGGCTTGGGATGCTGACGACGGTGCTTGGAGTCTGCCATCACGACGGAGAACCAATCCAGCAGGCGATTGGCCATCGCAGGCTTGGACGACGTCGGGCAATCCGTATTTCTGGACGGCGATTGTACGTTGTACATCGCTTTCAATGGCGACTGGGTCTTGTCCATCACTTCGTTGCTCATCAGATGCTTGTCGTCGTACCTGTTCGCACTAACGAGGGTCTGTAACATCAAACGCGCGCAAGTGAGTTGTACGTACGCGAAATCTTGCGCGCGCGCCGCCTGTTGCAAAATGTTAAAAGGAACGATACAATCGAGCGATATATGTACACCCCCCTCCCCCCCCTCCCCCGGATAGCCCACTTTTCCCGCCGCAATGTCGCATTTCGGCAAACATTATGCCGTCTCATTAATATTTCCCGCGCCATAAATTTCCAACAGTAATCATATTGTTATTGTAATTCTCCGATAATTAACCAGACTATGGGATTCGTTTATACCGCGATAAATATGCGACCAATACGATTGGTTGTTTCGCGACCTCGGCCGGTTAAAACTCCCGACGTTTTATTATTCAGCGTATCGATTGAATTTTGGTAGCGCATTTAAACAAGGATACCGTAAAACTCCAGATAATGACGGATCTTCTGCTGCATTATGCTGCGTAAACACGAGGCGCAAGCTCTTAAAATACGACAATTCCCGCCATTTGCCCGTAGAATTTAATAATAAATCAATGCGACGCGTGTACAGCGCAATCCCCGTTCAATTCCCGTGAAACGATGATGAGAATTGCGCGACAAAGGTCAGACGGCGATTAAAAAAGGAAGAAAATAGAAAGCCGGATCCCTTGATTGCGAGATTAACAAGGCTTCGGCAACCTGGCCCAACCAAAAGTTTATCCATTTATTTATTACGCTGTCGATCACCCGCGCCGCAACTCGTTCAATCCGACGGGATTCTTCCGAGGCCAGGCGAGTCTTCTCGCGAATCGGCTCGGGCGGATAAATGTTTGAAGGAATTAAGCGACGCGCAGGATGCGGCAAAATGCAGCGTTCGTTCGATCACCGCCGCGATGCGCGCGGAATCTCGGGCGACGCGCCGCCGCGCCGCCGCCCGACTAGCGCGGGGCTAATAATTAATTACGTTAGCTGCAATCAGTTCGTTAATCAACGCTCTCTACTGTCATTCTCGTCCTGCCGCGCCTACTGGAACCGTTGAATGATCTCTCGATTGCCAATTCGTTTAATCATATCGTCGGACCTCTCACTCGCGCGCACGTACATTAACCTCAATGGTCGGGGTTCGATTAATTACGGCCGGACTGACGTTGACGTGTGAGGGCGAATTATCCAGCAACGGATATCCCGCGCGGACGAAAAATCCGCGATACTCGCGGAAAGCGGCGACGCCAAAGGACGAAGCGTGCGTGTGCAACGATCCTTTCCGTAAAAATGATTATTAATGCAAGGGAGTCGCCGTTCACCCGGACCTTAGGTTAGTTTAACGAGACTCCTTCACGGACGATATCTCCCCGACGGGGAAGTGACAAAATATTAATCTACGATAATCAATATTAATCTCCGTACTGACCCGAGCGACAATGCAAGAGATCTGATCCTTTTTCTTTTTTTTTAAATCGAGACGAAATCCTTATGCAAAAAAATTCACGCAAACGCCTCGCAGCTTCGAAACTTTCGCCGAGATCTGAATTTCGCCAGAATGGAGTCCTGCGGGAGATCCCTTGTGCCTGCGGAAAATTCGAAGCGGTCGTATACTGCGATGGACCAAGGACGCGCGCGAAATTTCAGCGGCTGCGCGGTGCGGGGGGGGGGGGGGGGCGGGACACGGCAGAGGGTGGATGACGAAGGCGTAACACGAAGACAGCTCGGCGTAATTTTATTGAGTCAGTTTAATTAGGCGCCGGATGCGACTCGAAGTTTCGCGTTAACTTGTCATAAAGGGCGCTGATATACGATACGCTGGGTGTAATTAATAATTAGGGTGCGCAGCTTGCGGGGAGGCTTCCAGTTGAATTCCATTCTTACAGCGGAGTCCACCGCGCGTGGAATCTCCCGTTTCGCCCGCTTCGTTTACCTCGTCTGCCAGCTCGCGTCACAAAGCCCGCGCGCGCCTTGCCATTTGTACGACGTTAAATTCCCCACCCCGGAGAGAGACGTCAAACTCCGCCGGGGGACAACCGAAAGTTGTCGTGCGTGTTTGCGTAACGCGTGTTTGCGAGTTCAAACAGATTTAACCCTTTTCGAAGGACCAGGATACCCGCTGCAACCTGAGACCGCCTACATACGCGAGTCCTTGCCGACGCGAGGAGATCCAGGATTATCTCCAGCTGGGAATCCAGACGTTACACTCTGCGCTCTCTCTCTCTCTCTCTCTCTCCCTCCCCCCTCTCCTGCACGCATGTGTTCTCTATTTTATCGAATAGATATTTCCCGCAGATTTCGTAAAGGCGCGTCGCGCGTGAAACTGAATAACGCGCGGAATAACGTTTCGTTAACAATCTGCGCTCTCGTAGTTCTCGACTTAAGAAAATTACTGCATTTCCTGTCGCCCGCAAACGGCGTTGCCTTCCTGCAGACTGCACTTCCACAGACGCCTCATGACCGGTGCTTTAAGCAGCTTCCGAGAGACTCGCGAATGCATATTTATCAAATCTCGCGAAATTTCTGAATGTTTTATCTCGCCTTTATACAAAAGTTGAGGGAGCGCGAACGGATATTATCCTCGCGCGGTCGGAATTACTTGATGAAATCGAACGGTGCGCCTCCACAGCAGATAAACGAAACTTCTCGAAACTGAGGAGAATATCAATCGGCACTGCATAATGCCGTCCTACGCATCCCCGAGATAAAAATTTCAGCGGACTTTACTCCCGCGCGTGGAATTTTAATTGAAGATCTCATTACCACGATATTTAACATTAAAGCGTAAAGAAGTGCGAAAAGGAAGATGGAATCCAATTAAATTTTTGCCCGGGAAGACTCGACCTCAAACTCGCCCAAGAACTCGCAGCCGGCGAGAAAACGTACGCGACTTCTGACAAAGCCTCTGTATCTATGCATATATATATATATGTGTGTGTATGTGTGTATATTTGAATATTCTCGCTTTGTATGAGTGTTAATTTCCTGAGGCGCGTCGCTCGAGAGGGTAATATCTTACGCTAAAGCTTAAAGCGAGTCTCTTCACTCGCAGCGTCCTACGCGATGACCCAACTTTGACCCGCAGGCTGAGTCGCGCGCGGAAGGTTCCTGTCCAGTCCGAAATGCCGTTCAATTAGCCGCGGCTTGACACCGCGAGTCGTCCTCCCGCGAAATTCAGTTCGCAGCTCGCGTTTCCCACTCGCGTCTCTATCTCGCATCTGCGGGGGCTGCACGTCGACAGACAGAATTAGAACGGTAATCGCGAACGCACACATTGTTCGCGCAGCGTGATAAAACGTATGTTCATTGAACGTGACCGCTAATCGCCTGGAGCGACGCAGCGAAACGAGTCGCAGGGTGAGCCAAACAAGCCGCGGTTCGAGAATCGCGCGGGCGACGAGAGAATTGCGCGTCCGCGACGCGATTCGAGGGATCATATCCCGGAGGCCGAGGTGTATTCCTCGGGATCAATACGTCGGCAGGGCTCCTCGACAGCGGGTCTCTCCTTAAGGCCGACGTAATCTCAGTCTATGCACGCATCCCTTATTAAGCCCGGCCCTCGAAATAAAAATTGATCCTCCTCTTCTCTTTTCCGTTCTCGCGCGCGCTGTGGAAGCGCAGGAATCCAAATGCCGGGCTCCGCGATGTCGACGACGAGTATCCCCCGAGCGTAGCTCGCCCGTCTCATTGGTCGGCTATATAACCCCCCCCCCCCGTGCGTGGCGTGGTGGCTCTCTCTCTCTCTCTCTCTCTCTCTCTCTCTCTCTCTCTCTCTCTCTCTCTCTCTCTCTCTCTCTCTCTCTCTCTCTCTCTCTCTCTCTCTCTCTCTCTCACACACTCTCTCTGTCTCTGTCTCTCTGCCGTATTTTCGAGCAGCCCAGACGAAGCGTCTTTCCATCGATCGACGGAGAAGCGTCGGCAGACGAGGAGCAGGTAATAACGTTACCTGCGAACGTCGCGCGAGACCAACGAGACACGAGCCGAGCGCGAGCCGGCGGCGCCGTCGCCGCCGCCGCGTCTTCGGCTTCGACGACGACGATAACGTAGCGCGAGCGCGGTTTAATTCGATCCGCGGCCGGAGAGGTCTAACGACAGTCGAGACCCGATAAATATTGCAAAGATAGCCTGAGACGGTAATTGTCGTCATAAAGTGTCGGATAGACGCAGTCGGACGCGCGCGCGCGCGCGCGCGGCACGACGGTAATTCGTCCGCTTGCGCGACGCGAAACGTTTTAAATTTAGATTTCCCGAGTCGAATTACGCTCCCCTTCGCAGCTCCTCATCCCCTGCTCGCGTTAGAGTAAGATATTCCTCTGAAGGATAGTGACACTCGACTCGTGCTCCACTTCGCGTGATGTTTCATCAATCGATTGTATGCCTCTGCATGCCATTCAAGTTCGCGACTCCTCGCGACACTTTCTCACGTCTTAATTTGATCTTGTCGGAGTCTTACGGATTCGCATCGATTTTTTGCAATCGATGCACCGTAATGAAGTCTTCTATCGAGTTATCAGGGTGAATGATTACACGGCGATGAAGGGAAGAGGGCGAGAGAAAACAAATTCCAAATAATAAATTCCTGCGCACAGCAAGCGCCGCTTTTAAGGCGCTTTAATTAAAAATCGTGCCTGTTTTTGATAATGACTTTGTGACAAACTGAATAAATGTGCAAGAATGAAAATTTTACATATATTTATATAACATATAAAGAGTAGAAAAATTTTGTTTTTAAACAAATACTCATATAAACATACGTCCACTTCAATTTTAAACGCGTTTCTCTCGGAATTTTATTGTTCAACTTTTTGCAGTGATTTCTCCGAAACTGAGCTTCGGATCGATTTGAAATTTTAAAGCAATTATGTTTGTTCATCTGGCTCTCAGATGAACCATGGACAATTACATCAAAATATTTCATTTCGAGATATTAATTTTTTTATTGTAAAAGAACTGAAAAATTTGGATTTTTTCCTAATAATAGCTGCCATTTTGTTAATTTTGTTCGATTTTTTTTTCTAGTGGTTTACCGGATAATGATAAGCCTCTTCAAGATTTCTA